GTACTACTACCTAATAAAGGGGAGGAAAATATAAATAAATATATAAAAGGGGAGTATTTAATTATATAAATAAATAAAATAAATAAATAAATATATAAATAAATAATAAATACTCCTATACCCTTTTATTAACAACAAAGAGAGAAAATTAATCATCGCTTTTCTTCCTTTTCTTTTTCTTTTTTTTATGCATGCGTTTTTGCTTCTTTTTCTTTTTTTTTTCTTCTTTTCCTTCTTTTTTTTTCTCCTTTTTTTCTTCTCTTTTTATTCATCATATTCACATACTTATTTTTATTTTTTTTTATCTTTTTATCTATAAGAAAAGGAAGAAAAAGAATAAATAAATAAATAAATAATTATATATATTTATATTATCTCCCCCTTTTTTCTTTTTTTCTTTTTTTTCTCTCTCTCTTCTTTTCTCTCTCTCTTAGCAAACGCGGCAGCAACAAGATCTGCGGTGTACGTACAGCTCACCTGCATCTTCTTGCTGCGCTGCTGCAGCAAACGCTGCTGTTGCTGCAGGATGCTGCTGTTGCTGCAGCACACTGCTGCTGCTGCTGCTATTGCTGCTGCTGCTGCTGCTGCAGCAGCAGCAGCAGCATTAACCAGCAGCACCCCATTGTGTCAAGAGACAGCCAACCATCATTAATCAATAAATTAAATAATCAATCAGGCAAACAACAGCAGCAGCAGCAGCTGCTGCTGCTGCTGCAGCTGCTGCAGCAGCAGCAATACTAACATTAGTAGCAACAGACGCATATGCGTTCTTCCTGTTGCTGCTGCTGCTGGTGCTGCTGTATGTGTTGGTAAACAGCAACAATTAATCCTTAAGGATAAACTCTCCTCCTTAGAGCAGCAGCAGCAGCAGCAGCAGCAACTGCAACCAACACATATAAATAAATAAATATATAAATAAATACATGCATGCATGCATATTTACTATTACATAATGCATGCATTATATATATTATTATATATAATATATATATTTTATTTATTTATTTATTTATTTATTTTTTTA